AACTCTTACCTGTATTGGTACAGATTTGTTAATTACTTTATCTGAGTCAGTTGACCTTATTGTGAGATACTGCCCTTGAATCTGTAATTGAATTATTTAATATTTGTTCTTTTGTTTTTAAAGCAAGAGTCAATGCAAGCATCGTTTTAAATCAGCGTGCTGAAGTGTGCATATTCTGTATATCGAATGTCATTGTTGTCTCTTGTTTCTGTAATGCATTTGCATTACTATGAATCAGTTTTATTATGCTTCTCTAGAGACTACTGCTGCCTGCACGCTGTGATATATTTGCACTGTTGTAGATATATATATATACATATATGTAATTATATCAACCATGTCTTTTTCAGGTTGCTTGTTACCTTTGTAGTTTACGCTTACTGGTACGGTGAACCTGAGTAAAAATGTGGGATGTGGGACATTCTGATGATATATTACAACAATAGAGAAATCTTTGTATATTTCTGTATACTTAATACCCGTAAGAGATTTGTATGTGCATTATTTTCCAAACTAGGGCTTTGTTTTCTGACAATAGAGAGCATTTATGATAATGTAACAAAAAAAAAAAAATCAAATAAAGTGTTATTATTTTCAGACAGTTGCTTTTGTCCCTGTTCTCTCTCAAGGGGGAGTATGTGGCAGCTGTGTTGGTAGAGGTACATTCTCACGGATTGCATGAGGTTCTGGCAGTCAGCAAGGACAGCAAACTGCCTGGTTTGGATGTACATTGTGGTAGCTTCATGAAATTCCCAGAGCAGTTAGGTTATGGATACAAATAGAAAAAATTCTTCAAAACAGAATTGCAGTCATCTTTGGCTCAGGGCAAAGATCTGTGCTGCCGAGGATCTGATAGTGGCAACAGCACTACGCAGGGAAGGGTGTAAGAACAGGGCAAAACATCAAGGTGTGCTTGGCTGACAAGTCAATAACTAGCTAAGTCTCTGGGAGTTTCTCTGTATTTTCTTGCCTTTGATGGATTTAACTTCCATGGACTTGTCTAATTCCTATTTGAACCACCTGCTCGTATTCATCACACTACCTTTTTCAGCACAGGTTCCCCATGCTCTTGCATCACAGGAGGCAGTGAATGATCACATGCAGATGTGGCACTGAGGGACATGGAGAGATGGGCTCATGGTTGGACTACATGGTCTCAGAGGTTTTTTCCAACCTTAATGATTCTGTGATTCCCTTTTTTCTTTCTGCTCAGTATTCAGAAATGTATAGATTTCCTCCTCCCGTATTCCAAGAGAAGGGAAAGCGTGTTTTATTCTGCCAGTCACACCTATCCCCTGTTTTACAAAGCACAGCTCTCCCTTGTTCTGCCACAATACCCATACAGTGTTCTTCTGTGGCCTCCTATGCATTTCTGTCAAGTTGTACTTCATGAAAGGTCTCTTCAGCTCCTTTAGAAAACCAGTATTTTTCTGCTCAAGTTTCTTCTGAAGATCTGCTTTGTCCAAGAAATGACATGCTTCCCAGCTCTATCACTTGAAACAGTGTCCCAGTGTAGAAACCACGAGACACTGGGAGTGCTGCTTCCTGTTGTGCTGAGAGAAAAACTCTTGGATAGGAAACTAGACCTGTTTCAAACCCCAAGAACAGCAGTGTCAGAAGATGGGTTGTGGTATAGATGTGTCTTACTTTGCCATACACTTTGTTGGCAGGGTGACTTTTCATGCTAAGTTGTCCTTGTGCCACCCATCCTGCCTGTCACAGCCTCAGAGTTAGCTATTTGTCACCACAGTTCAAGGATAATGGCCACAGCTTTCGCAAGCTGGTCAAGTGTCCAGTCCTAGACAGTGTGAGCCGTGATGCTTTAAGGACAAACAGCCCATAGGATGCAATAGGATTGCATTTTTCATACTAAAGGCAAGACAGTTTTCTAATGATAATAGAGGTCATATTTTATGCTATGCAAGAAATGCTGGACTGAAGGATTTACAGCCCCCAATTAGATGCCTCCCCATGCCAAATCTCCATAGACCAGAAAAGAAGAACAGGACTCCTTTGTAGCCAGAGGGGCAACTTAAATTACTTTTAGTGTCTTATATTATAATTAATGCTATGAAATAAGCCAACTGTAAGCTTCTCATTAGCAACTGTGCAAAAATTAATGTTCCTCACACACGATTACTTTCCACTCTGTGCTCCAAATGGATTCATAAAACAAAGAACATTTGAAAACAACAGTTTATGCTGTATTTTCTTGTAGCTATCAATTTAAAATCTCCTTCATAGTGCAGTTTGAGAAACAGAAGAAGGTAGGAAAGCTGCTACAGTTAAGGATGACCCCTTTTTTAGCATGGAAGGATGCAAGTGCCCAGGTTGACAGTGAGCAGTTGTTACGCTGTCAGTTTTCAACACCGAGATCTGATCTGAAGAGAACCATAATAAAGGTTTTGGTTGGGAAATGTATATTGCAAGCTCCATTTATGTCAGAAAATGCTGTCAAGGGCAGCATTAGTCACATTAGTACTAATTGTGTCTTTCTTTTTTATTCCATAGCCTCATTTTTTCCTGCCCTTCTCTTCCTTTTTTTGTTGTCTTGCAGATTTTTTCAAGAATATCTGAGAGCTTTTTATGCAATGTTGTACAATTGCATTGCTAGCTGCTTACCATTGCAGTTTTGTGCCTGTCACTGATCTCTCCTAGAGATGAAAAATATTAAGAAAACATGAAAGTGAAACATCAAATTGTGACCCCTGCTCCTGGGCACTCCTCACTCACTCCCCCATATCCTTACAGTTAGATGTTAAACATGCTTTGTAGCTTTACCAGAAGTCTTACCGGTGCTTTTTTTGCTTTCTCCTGAGGTACAATGACGAAGTTGCTTCAAAATCATTACAGAAAAAATAAAAGTTAAATGAAGCTTAGGACTTTTCTGCTTCTGTTTGTTGAAAGCTGCATGCTGCCATGACAGTGTCCCCTTGGATAAGGTCTAGTGCCAACCCTGAGAAAGGGCAGGAAGTGGGGAAATTCCCATTTTGTAGGAAGAAGGTGCACATGGATCAGGTTTTACTTCCCAGATTCAGCTTTTCAAAATGCAACAGACTCAAATCACCAGACTGATGATAGCTGCTTCAAACCACACCAGTCCACTCCCATGCGTGCGAGTGCTGCTTTAAGTGGACCAAACATTGTGCATTGCAACAGAAGTATCATAAGGCAAAGTCTATCTGTTTTCCAAATTGTCTTTTACCACTGAGCACGTTGTCAGTCTCCTCCTGCCATGGTGTACCTGGGGTAAATTGGGGCAGGGACCACACATGCTGTATCAGGGAATCAGAAGTAGCTCTTATGTTTTAGCTTCTGCTGTTTGAGAGCATCATTTCAAGCTTTCAGGTTCTTCTTTGAGACCAAGAGTCTTGAAATGTCTCCTAAACTCCAGAGCTGAAACTTTAGGCCAGTAGCTCATGGATATTTGTGACACAACTCTGTGGTTTAGCTGTTTTCTACAGGAATTTCAGCTTCTGTGCTCTTTTTCAGTTTGGTTCAGCACCTTGCCTGAAATCTTCCCTCTGAATGGGAGCTTTGCCAGAGCTTGAACAGAAAGCATGGTCTTTCTAGTGATATTTGGGGATGGGATCAACAGTAAGCAGACGTTAAAAAGTGTATCTGCAGAGGTGTTTTCAGACACGTCTTTCTGCCAGATTGCTCCTCACTGAAGAGCCACACATGGAATCGATCTACAGTCCCAACATTTTCTTCTCAGTCTTTGAGAAGCCAAAGCATGGGTTGCAATCTGCTGTCCTGATAACAGCCCACTGAGGACCACCAGGCACTGCTGATTTTCAACATCATTCACTGTTTGCGGAACAGCCTCGTCAGCACAAAGGCTTTGTGTCACAGAATTGATTCCTATTATGGTAGCACCTCTGCTGATGATAGTTCTGTAGCTGACCTACTTTTGTTTCCCCAGAAAAATATTCAGAACTTTGTTTCCTTGTTCAGCCAGTTCTCTTATCAGTTTAGACATTCTTCACACTTTTTTTTCCAAGTATATTTGGGCAATGTTGAAAACCATCTACAAACCTCAGTCACTCACATATTGTAAACTCCCCACATAGTAAGTCCCTTAGGACTTACTGATCACATCCCATCCCTACCTCATATCTCTACCAAACACACATCCTGGAAGTTGTAATGGGGGGGGGCCAGCAGGACCTGTATAGTAGCAGTACATAAAATCCTGTACTTAGGCCTCCCAAATTCCTCTGGGCTACAACACCAAATCTTCCTTAGCGAAGAACTTCAAAGGTCTTCAGAAGACTTCTCAGTTTATTTGCTCATATTTCAACCATGTTCAAATCCCATTATTATTAAGCCCACTTTAAGTGTGAGATAATGGAGTTTTATGAATAACTAATTTTTACACACTTGGATGATATCATCATCATAGTGGAATCTCCAAGGAGGTTTTCTCTTCTTGCAGCACAAAGGGAAATGGTCAGTGGGCATGGTGGGGATGGGTTGGTGGTTGGACTAAGTCAACTTAGTGGTCTTTTCCAACCTTTATGATACTATGATTCCTTTCTGTGGAGCACCCAAGTAAATGGAACTTCACTTATGTCCTGAGGGGAAAAAGCAAATCAGCCCTACTGTTGTAACGGTGTGAAGGGAAGCGCTGAGTATTTTCAGTGCTGAAAAGAAAGGGGTCCATGTGCAGCCACCTATCAGGTAGCACATACACACAGCTGCTCACAGATGTGAAATGTAAGCAGCGGACATCGCTGAGCTGTCTGACTTCCTGGAAAGCAGAAATATGCAGTTTTAAAATAAAGATAGCAGAGGACTCATGGACTGTGTCTTGGTTCTTTTATTACACTGAAAAACTGTATGTACTACCCTACGGAGAGAATAAAAGTTGTGGTTATATTTTCTTCAGAATGAAGAAAAAATCACCTAGAAATCATTGTTGTTACAAACAGAAAGTTGGAGCTGGGACATCTGGCTGTTATTTCCCAGTTGAGCAGGTTCTTCAGGAAGTTTCTACTTTAACAACCTGGAGAGGAAAAGAGGAGAAGCAGGTTAAGGGATATGTTTTTTCCTCAAATTTGACACGATGCAAGGAAGTATTTGCCTAGATGCAGTACATTAAAAAGAGTGTGTGCATCCAACAAGCATACTTTAGCAACTAGTGTCCCACCCATCTTGACATGTGTTTCCTAGCTATGATTCAGATCATTAAAACCAAATGAGAGTCCCAGTGGCAAAATAGACTATGGTGTGGCTTGGAAACAGCCAGGGCTGCAGCAGTTGTGCTGTAACACAGGAAGAGGGCATCAGAAATTTGTCAGGTTCATTCCATGTCTCTAAAAAGAAGCCTTTACCTCTTGTGATAAAGCAGATGTGGACTTGACAGCCACACCTCTATCATCATGCTAGCCAAGGGCTTGCACTCACACCAGAGTCCCAATTGCCCTCAGATCCCTGGCCCTGGGACACATCAGCACCACCCCTCCGTGCAAAAAGCTGGTCTTTTAGGGTTTATCACCCACTCATGCTTTTGAGTGAGGAGGCTCTGAACTCACACTGAGAATCAGAGATGATCCTGTTCTGTTCTGGAACTGTGGTGTGGCCATGGGGATTCAGGGGAGATATCTCATTTGGATTTTACCTTCTTCGACTGTGCGGTGGTAGAAGCACCAGGGGACACCAGCAGGATGTGCCCGGAAGCAGCATCTCCTGCTTAAGCACTCCTTAGCTGTGATGCCAGGGTAGCCACAGTTCACTCGGATACGAGGATCAGCAGGGCACACTTTCTTAACTGTGTAAAGCAAAAAGGAAGGAAGGATAGAGGCTGTGTTACATTATGCCCAACGTACCTCGTGGAAAAATTCACAAATAAAAGGTAGATGGGATCCATGAGCAAGCACAACAGCTGTGGTGATCTTTTCCACACTGATTTCAGGCAGGACGATCACACAAACTCTCACTATGCCTAGTATGCAAAGCTACATACCAAAAGATGAGGAACTTCTGCTGCACCCTAGGGGCTAGATGGGCCAAAGTTCATCCCTAGAAGTGCCTGGCAGGCAGCAATCTGTTTTTGCCTTTTGCAGATCCAGCAGTGGAGCAGAGAGCCGACTGCAGAATGGTCACAGCCCCAAGCTGCCAGAATTCAAGGAGTGTTTGGACGACACTCTTAGACATAGGATTTGAATTCGAGTGGTTCTGTGTGGAGCTAGGAGTTGGATTCAGTGATCTTTGTGGTTTCCCTTCAACTGAGAATATTCAATGATTCTTTGTCTTCCATGATGATACCACAGACAGCAGCCTTGTGTCTGGCTCAGTGCAAGAGGCCAACACTTCAGCAGCCCTGCTGACGTGGGGAAAGGAAGATCCATTCACCCCCATATCAACTTCAGTTGTGGAGGAAGGTAAGTCACTTATGAGGAATCACAGCTCATCCAGAAAATTAAAATTACATGCAAGGAAGGAACTTTTGTGGGAATGCAACCAACAGATAGGAACTGTAGTTGTGGGGAATCTACATTAAGCCCCCTTCCACAACATTAAAACCTTCTTAAAATATTTTCACCACCCAGATTGAATAATTAGGTATTCCTATTCTGGAAGATTACTGCTCAGAGAAGCAACTCCATGAAAATGACACTGTAAGATACAGCCATTTCTTTTTCAAGATTTACAAGACAAGCAAGCAGTGTTCAAAGTCAAAATTAAATTTCAGCGGTTCTCAGCCCTGTTGAACAATCTTGATTCACACCAAGTTAGTTGTTAACACTGCCTTTGTACCCTCACTTCCTCTTATTTCATGTGTCCAGGGCTGGTGGTACAATGGCTAAAATTGCACTGAAGTTCTCCTAAGAAGGAGTCATGCAGTTGGCACTGCACATTAAACAGTTACATGAAATGCACTCAACTATTGAAGGATTTGGGTGAGTATCACTGACCCTCTGTGGGAACATAAGGATAAAAGATGGAAGGAGTTCAGATTTTCCATTGGGTCTTAGAAGGAAGAATCTAATGGAGAAAATGATCTGCCCTGATGTAATTTGGAGATTTCATTAAATGAACACTGGAAGAAAAAACAGGAGAGAAAAAAAGAATTACCCATTGGAATTATACTGGGAACCATGCAGAAAATGAAGAAAGTGGTAAACATGAAAATAATCTTAGAAAAGGAGAAAAACCTGTCCATGTTTTTAAATGACTGCAGTGGATTCATCTGCTGAGGACTTTCTGATCTCTTTAACACATATTGTTAAAGCGGCGTTAATGTCCTTGTCAGACACATAGAAAGCCTTTGAAAGCCCATTTTAGGTAAGTGCCAAGCATCATATGCTCCACTGACAGACAAGACCACAATTGGCAGTGAAATGTTTTTAAACAGTAAGCTTGGGCTATCTGATAACTAAGAGCCTGAAGAAAAAAGAAATATCTTGTGCAAAGAAGATGCATTCCAAGCCTGACAAGGCAATCAATATTTGACTTTGCATTTTTCTACCAAAGGTCTTCTGAGAGAGGTTTGCACCCACTTCTTTGGCTCAAGAGTAAGAACAGAGCTGCTCCCTGATTGTACATGTTTCTGTATAAGCAAACAGTAGGTAAGCTAGTGTTTCTGGTGGAGGTGTTACCTTTCTTTGGTTTAGGAGTGAAGCACCAGGGGATGCCAGGCACTGACGCATTGAAGCAGCACCCAGCTTTCCTGCAGTCTGCTGCTGAGATTCCTGGGGGGCCGCAGTTCCTCCGCTCCCTGGCAGCTATTTTGCACTGGCATTTTGCTGTTGAGCACAGAAATCCAAAGTTACTTGGTGTTAGTTTGCTTTTTAGCAGAGGTGCATTTATCAAGTGTTCTCTTGAAACCATAAGCTTTCCCTGGACTCTGTCCATCTTATAAGTGTATGTTTTCTTTCGCTTGTTAAGATCAGAACTTAAAATGTTTGTTTTAAGATCTGTTCATGGCAAATAGATGGCAAGTGAAATGCTGGGCCCCTCCCTAATGGCTGAGGTGAAACTCCCATATCAACTTCAGTAAGATCTGTACTTCACCCAGTATGCCATGGTCCCACATGCATCCAGCCCAGCCCAGAACAGTGGGACAGTGAAATTCAAACAGATCACCTCAAATGCCAAAAAATCATAACTTCAGGTATTGAGCTGGTAAATATTTGTTGATTTGTTCATCTCATTTGAGAAAAGAATGAGTTAAGGGTCCTGTGGATCTTTACTAAGTGTAAAGATACAAAAACTTAGTGTTATCTTTTAGGTCACTGTAAGAACAGAGTTGCATACAAATAATTGCAGCTGCACCTTTCATAGAATCATAGAATGGCCTGGGTTGAAAAGGACCATAATGACCATCTAGTTTCAACTCCACCCCCCCACCATTGGCAGGGTTGCCAACCACTAGACCAGGCTGCCCAGAGCTACATCCAGCCTGGCCTTGAATGCTTCCAGGGATGGGGCATCCACAACCTCCCTTGGCAACCTATTCCAGTGTGTCACCACTCTCTGAGTGGTGACTTTTAATATTTTGCTACTAATATCTACTACGTAGTCAACTACAACCAAGAAATTCTGGAGACGTCCCTTTGCACGTGCCATTGAGCTACTTGCTTTCCACTTCCCGAGTTACTTAATGACTTGTCTTCTACTGATGAGGCAGATAGACTTATCTTAAAACACATTCCTGCAGAAAAGTAACATGAAATGGATTTCAGGAGACTCTTTAGACAAACCTAACTACTACTTCAGTCCCCGTCCTGTTCTAGTGAACTCCTGGGCATTTTGTTCTTCCATCTTCGAGGCAGGTTTCTGGTTATTTCACTAGTAGTTCACCTGCAGTTTTTGTTGTTGTTTTACTGTAGCTTTCTCTGAAAACAGAATTAAACAGAAGACTCCAGATTTGGGAATAGTGCCAGAGCAATATAATCATCGTCTGGCATGTGATCTGGAGGCATGCTCTTGCTATTATTACAATCAGTATGATCAAGCTGATGTACATACCTGCAAAAGCAACAGGAAGTAAATGTACTTACATGGTGGTTTTCCTTCTGTTGAGCTTATGAGGGCTACAGCGAGGATGACAAAGAGCAAGCAGATCCCCTTCACATCCATTGCTCTGGGAGCCCTCAGGCCGATGGCGTAGAAGAGAGGTGGAGGAGAGGTGCTGCTTTGCCTCAAGCAGCCTGTTTTATATGGTCCTCATGTTTACCTGGACAGATCTGATAACATTGTTCCCTGCAAAGCTTCACCCAGAAGCTGCTTTTTTTGTTGTTGTTTTATTAGGAAATGTTACAGTGTATAGTTTGATATCCCTGAGGTAAATTTCTAGGCTTGTGTGAACTTTTCATTGCGTATTTATTATATACCCCTAGATCACATATCTATTACGTGATCCCCTAATCTATTAATTGGACATTACTGCATGCCTCTGGCATTCCTAGCTGACATCATAGCCATGTGAGTGTTTCAGAACACTAAGCAGCTTCAAATGGTTGCTTCTACTGAAAAACATATACATATATTTCTTTTCCAAGTGCGTTCTTTCTGCCACAAATATTCCTTGTCCTTAAGTTCATTCTGGATTACATTTACTCTTCAGCTTATGTGGCAGGGCAGCTGGAGCTGTGACACCTTCAAGCTATGGGACACTTGGGTAAGAAAAGAACAGTTTTTGTGTGATCTCAGCCTGACCCATTGGGAATGGTGCTTGTCCATGGGCTGGTCCCCTACCTCCCAGCTGATACTGCTTGTGTCATCCTATGCAAGGGTGTCTGCCCCATGGAAATCTGGGTTCTTTAAATTACTGAATTTACTGTATGAATATTTTAATTGTATTTTTCTTTACTAGTTCCAGCTAAGTGAACCTAGATAGAATATATGCATACTATCAATTTCAAGGGCTTATGACTTCCCCGCCACCAGGGAACTCATCTTGTTCATAATCAGAAGTGAAATTCAAAGTTGTTTTTTTTTTCCGTGACAAAATTATGTCTTTATGTCTTTAATTATTGTAGATGAGTTAATTTTCTTCCTCTTTCCTTGATAAACTTTGAACTTCTAAGACAGTTTTGAGGGTAATTTATTTGTTTAGATGTATTTTGAACCCTTTGGTCTACAAAGAAGAAAAAACAAAACACAAGAATTAATTTTCATAGAATCATAGAATCATTAACATTGGAAAGACCACCATGATCATACAGTCCAGTCATCAGCCCATGCCTGTGACCACTCCAAATCATGTCTCTCCGTGCCACATCCACACAGTTCTTGAACATCTCCAGGAACGGTGACTCTACTACCTCCCTGGGCAGACTGTGCCACTTCCTCACCTCTCTTTCTAAGAAATATTCCCTAATATCCAACCTGAACCTCCTCTGGTGCAACTTGAGGCCATTCCCTCTCATCCTATTGCTGTTGCCTAGGAGAAGAGGTCGACCCCACCTCATCACAACCTCCTTTTAGATGGTTACAGAGAGTGGTAAGGTCACCCTTGAACCTCCTCTTCTCCAGACTGAACAATCCCAGTTCCCTCAGCTGCTCCCCATAAGACTTGTGCTCCAGATCCCTCACAGCTTATTTGCCCTTCTCTGGACACACTCCAGGGCCTCAATTTCTTTCTTAGAGAGAGGGTCTCAAATCCTGCTGTAGAACTTCTTAAAGACTTCATTTATGTTCTCTCATTGAAAGCCATGATTAAAATATCAGACACTGTGTGCATCCTTCACTGCACAAGATACCAAGCTGGAGGTGGAGGAGGACTGCATGCCAGCGCTCGCCTTCAACTTTCATCGGTGAGGGAAAACACCAGATCTAAAATTCAAAAATCCATTTTTCTCCATACAGGGAATGCTGACAGCACTCCCAAAGGCCAGAGGTGATGCTTGTCCCGGGGAAGCCCAGATCAGTTTTCCACCAGCTTCCTTCAGAAGGCATTGAGCCTGGCTGAAATGTTGTGCCTCACACGAAAGCTTTGCAGCCTTCATGCTACAGCAGCAGCTTGCAGCTGATTATTGGCCCTGGGCATGAATCAGGCCACCATGATAACACCACCATGTCCCTCCTGCCTCTTACAGAACATTAGTTAAGCCCTTATCTGCCAGCTGTCAGCTCCTGGGCCCAATCCTACCACACGCACAATGGCAAATATACCACTGAGTTCTTGCTACGGAAAGAGCACATGATTGACATCTTAAAGCAAACACTTTGAAAGAAATGAGCCCCTCGCTTTCTGCCAGCGGATCACTTTAAGATCTTTGATATGTTTATATAGCAAAGTCTTGGACACAATCAGGGGTTTCTCCACAAATGTGTTTCCTTCCCTGAGGCCAGTATCCACCCAGACTTTTGGGTCACTCTGCATTGAGCACCAAAGGGACTGGAAGGGCTCTTTGCCTCCTTCCAGCCTCCTGGCCTCTCTCACCACCACTCTCTCTACAATGGAGCTAGGAGCTCAGGCACAGAGAAACAATGAACGTCTCCAGTTTGTATTTCTGCATTCTGTGGGAGTCTTCATCAATTCTGCTCCTTCAAACTCTGCAAGGGATGCCCAGTAAAGAGGAGGACCCGTGAGAGGAAATAGTACATCTACACCACATAAGCAAAGCTCATCTCATGCCATTCACTGCAATGCTGAGTTTTAAGAGAATGTTTATGAGAACTGCAGGAATGAGCAATACTCTCCTCTTTTGTTGTCAGACAGTTTTCCTTATTCTACAAGGGTGCTGCAGATCAGAGATTCCTGTGCCTGGGTCAGCCTTGCTGGGCATGAGCTGAAGCTGGGTTTTCCCTTTCTGTTTTAGGGAGGGCCCTGCTTTTGGAACCAAACAGCAAAACTAGGCCTCACAGACAAAGTAAGAAATACTTCTGGAAAAAAACAGCTAAACCAAACAGCGGAGTGTGACAGCACATGAGACCACAACACTTGGAAGTGTGCATGCCGTTAAATACAGACTGAAAAATAGAACAGGTGAAACTTAGGAAAAATTTAAACACATGTTTATAATTGTAATCTCCTGGAGTACATCCAAAGGCTTTGCAGCTCTCCATTTGCACAGCTTACTTTGCAAGACACACCACAGAGAAATCTGCCTCTGTTGCAGAGGTAGATACATGTCTCTAAGAAAAGCATGGACAGACACTGAGTCAGGAGCAATTGGAAACAAGAGGAACTCTGTGACCCTTCTGTTCACCTCAGTCTGGATGAATGCTCCTACTGAAGGCTGAGTCCCACCACATCTCACATTTCCCCACAATGCCAAGACATCATCCTCATGGGACCAGAGCCAGAGCTGCATAGGTCTGGGGGAAGAACTACAAAAAGAGGTAGAAGCCTTCCCCTGTAAAAGAGGAAATACAAAAAAAGCAAGCAGTAAAGATAAGAGATGCAACAGGGTCTCTGACAGTTCTCTAAGTTGTTTTGAGGCATACACCGTGAGAAGACTTGCATTTCTGGTGCCAGTGGGACCGTCAGCCTCTCATGTATTTTAACAAGCTGAATAAGCACACAAAAGCTCTCAGTTCAGGTTGTTATTTGCCTATCTACTGAATAACACCATGGGTTCAAAAAATAAACAGAGAAAACCTTACATCTTAACTCTGGGAACGAATGGTTTAAAGTAAGCATTGAGAGCCATTCAGCCCTATCTCTTAGATAAATATACCTATACCAGATATATTAGCGTGGGTGTCCAAACCACGTTTAACTTGGTGTGCACAAACTCTTTCAGAGGACTTTTTTAAGAAACAGTATGAACTTTCTACACATTTCTGTGGTCAGCATCCATGCCTAAATGGTAAAATGAGAAAAGTAATTACATGAAGTTAATCAGATATATAACTCAGAGCTCAGTTAGGTCTAAAAGCCTGAACTTTAACATCCAAAGCTCTCAGGCATAGGGTTTGAATTTTGGGTAGTCCTGTGTGGATCCCAAAATTGGACTCCTTGTGGATCTTTGTGGATCCCTTCCAACTCAGGATACTTTATGATTCTATAACTAAATGGAACTTAAAGGATGAGTAAAATGGGTGAAATGCTTGCAAACAGCACAGTGGGTATTTACAGGCACAATATGACAGACCGAGAACAAATATTTACCATGAAAAAAAAAAAAAGATATGTCCTCAAGTATGCTCATAGATCAGAAGAGTTAAACAAAAAGTAAAGGAGCTACTATAAGAAAAAAGGGCCTTTTTTTTTCAAAGCCAAATAAAGAAAACAGAAAAAAAGAACGAGTGCATGGAGGTAAAATCAGAAAGAGATAAACAAATAACTTCTTCTGAGATAGGAGACAAAGGTTAGTTATCACAAAGAGGAGAAGAGGATTTTTGTTGTTCAACAAACTCAGAAATGATAAGAAAATGCTGGTGAATAATGAAGTGATAAATATGCAGATGATTCAGAATTATTTGTCATATTTTTCCAAAAGTGCAGGTAACTGAGGAGTTGTAGAAATATCTTACAAGAGTGATAAATGTCAAGTGAAAGGCAGAGTAAGTAATTGCAAAGTAAAGTGCATGGAGGAAAAATAACTTAATTATATGTAAACACAAAGATGGGTTGTAAATTAGCTCTTGTCACTCAGACAGAGCTCTGCATTGCTTTGGTTACACCAACTGAATATTCAAAGTGTCAAGAAGGCAAATTGAGTTTTAGTTGTTATTAGAAAAGGGACTGAGTGCAAAGTGGCAAAAGTAATTCTGACACCACTGCAGTTCCCGCTGAGCCCATGCCTGCATCCCTTTGTGAGGTTCTGGATGCCCCACATTAAGCGGAGAAAACGCAATTTGAAGAGATGCTGAGAAAAGTCCCAGGCTTGGAAGCAATCAGCTATGGACCCAGATTTAGGGGAGTGTAGAAGCTTAGAAACTAAGTTGTCACAGGCCAGAGGGAGAAGTGTTTTCCTGGATAAGAAAGAAGATAACATGTGAGAGTAGGTGAATGGTTTTCATTAAAGGGAAAGGCCAGAAGTAGCCATGCTGGGACCTTTGCATCATAACAAACTTGTAAACTGTCTTGAAACGGGAGGAGAGGGTAAAATTTGTTGGCAACACCATGGTGGTGAAGATATGAAGCAGATGCAGAACTGATGATATGATGCAGGGTAAGATTGCAGTTGATACTGCCCATAAATATGAAGCACTGCTCATTTGGGAAAGGAGCAACCCTAACTCTTCAACAAAATGATGGCCCTGAGCTGTTTCTTATCACCTGGTTGTGAGTGAGTGCAGTGTGTGATGTTGGCATATGGAGGAGGAGAGGGAGCTTTGTGAAAACAGAGCTCAGTGCTTAGTAACTGAGGAAATCAAATGACAGTTAGTAGTTAGGGAAGAGATAGCACATGGAATGGAAAACACTGTTGTGCCATCCTATAAACTCATGGTACATCTGCTTTTCTCATGCCCTTTTCTCAGTCTCCAACCTCTAAAAGGTCCAGTCACGAGGATGAAAGAAAGCTGGACAGCATCCACACCAGGAACGACCATGTAGGTTGGTTCTATCCAGGCTGCAAGGTCTACAAAGTCACAAAAGGCAGAAGAATATACCACTAGCTCATTATCTCACCTAATTTAAAAGTCTGACCATCTGAGAAGCACATTCAAAGTGGAGGAAGGAAGATGGGCACGTGGGCAGGATGTAGGTAAGCTGTGGAATTCCTTCCTGCAGGATCCTGCATTTGCTAAAGCTTCACATGGATCTGGGGAGTGATCAAAATCTGTAGAAGAAAATTTGTTCTGGGCTGTAAGTCTATCTCAAGAAAAGCCTAAGCTGAAAATCATTGGATGTTGGAAGAATCCGGGGAAGTGTCACTGCTCATCTGACTTGCTCTTTAACTTTCCTTAGCATCAGCTCTTGCTGTTATTTAGGACAGGATGCTTGCTGGCCTTCAGCTCATGTTGCTCACTGCTCCTCAGAATACAAAAATGAGAAAGTCAGTCATTGCAACAGTGAGGCTGCAGCTGCACGTGAGAAGAATATAATGTATGACTGGTCTGGAATTCATTTCTCCAGAAGCAGAAGGCCAGGGATGTGCAAGGACTGTAAGACAGATGGTACTACCCAGCACAGAGGGCCACTGGTAGTACTATTTATGATGTTCAAGGTATAAATTCTGTCTTCAGAAGGCTCTAAACTTCTGCTTGTTTGTCTGGGATGACCTACTAGAAAGATTGGTCTGTACTCCTTCTTAAAGCTTTCCTGTAAGCATCTGTGACTGGCCATGCCTGGTATCAGATCGGGAATAAAGATGGATCTAGCCTGGCTTAGTCTGGACAATCCTATGATTTTATGATTACTTCTTGTGCTTTTTGTTATATTTTTAGGAAAATCTTTTCAAACTGTCCTAAATTTTGGAGTTTAATCACATGCTGAAAGTGCAAAGCTCAGAATCGAGATAATACAGCTTGGTTTAAATTCTAAATCTGTTAAAAACGTCCCACTTTGCAGAATGGAAAATGCCATGATGAATGGAGATGCTTCTGAGACTCACCTGATCTCAAAGCAAACCCATTCCTGCATATCAGTTGTGATCACTGGAAGAAAGATGCCACTGATGAAAGAGGGGATGGTTCTCCTGTGATGGTTTCCTCTCTCAGTGAGGAGGGAAGGAGGGAAGCTAGCTGGTGCAGTCACGAAGGGCAGGATCCATTCAGCATCTCTCACCAGGAACAGGGAGATACCAAGGCTGATCACCATCTTCATATGTTGATGTGCTGAGGTCAACTGTTTGGAGCAGCAGGAAATGACGTGGGCTGCGAGCAAAAATACCTACTGTGGTGTGGTGGCACAGTGGAGCCAAAACTGTTGCTGCTTTTAGCAATTTTAAGTTATTGCTCTTTTTGTATTTGTGAAAACACTGCTGTTATGAATATCCATTAACTATTTGACAGTAGTGAATGGAGAACGTGTTTGTTCTGTACCAATTAAACAGACAAAAAATAGGAGAAATATTAAACTCTAATGCTAGATAGAGAATACAAAAAATAGATGGGAGAACTTCCAGGGAAAAACCATGTGGTAAAATTCTTCAAAGGTATTACAAAATAATGACGGAAATAAGTAGTTTTTTTGTTTTAATTTTAAAAGAAAGAAGAAGGTTTGCTGTAAAATTTCTTTGCAATTTTCCTTCTAAGGATTTTAAAGAGAATGAGCATGTGAAGTGAACTGTAAAGATTTGGAAAGAGACTGAAAGGGAAAGAATATTTTCCTCCCTTCAAAGCCAAAATCTCCTCACATTTTAGCAGGGGAAGTAAAGCATTTCCCTTTCAATTCTTGTTCCCTCTCCAAGACGTTTTTGTTCTTTCCACACGGGCAAAATCAGAAACACATTATAATGTAATTTACCCATTTCAGGACATATTTATAGCATAAATTAGCTCAGGAAAGGGTATCTTTCTATACAGAGGGGGAATCAAAAGGCACCGTGGCAAAAAAATAAAGTTTGGGAGATATTTAGGTTTCAGGCTCTGTTTACAAATGTGACCAGTATTAATCAGTATTAATTAATTAATTAAGTGGCAAAAAATTATATGAACTGATCCGGAGAGCACTGTAAAACAGTTTCTTAGTATTGGTGGGATCCAAGGAAAATCCTTTGTAGGGAGAGACCAGCCTGTGGCTCTCTATCATCTCATGCAAGCTTCTCTTTGAGGACCAAACCGAAGTTTGGTCCAAAGCTGAGCTGGGAAATCAGAAAGCCTGTCTGGTGTTGAGCCAGTACAGTCAGCATGTGGGGTTGCTGAGGGTGATGCCTTCAAGGTGCCCTGGGAGCCCTGCAAATGAGACATAAGTGTTATGCTGCAAACAGCTTTCACTATATGTGTGTATGGCTGAAGATGACAGAAGGTGATGAAGAGGAAGGGTCTTTTGTTACTGGTAATTTCCCTAGAACTGTGCTTCAGCATCCTACTAGAATGCAGTGAATTCCTGAGAGTATACTTCATATGCTCTCATTTGTTGCACAACTGACATTCACTAGCAAAACATCTCTTAATTCATGCCCAGAAATAGAGGGATGAAAATATTAATATTTCTATAAATCAAGTCACTGCCATCTTTAACATACTTTGCTTTTCAGAAGATCTGAATTCTCAGTGTCTTTCTGCTAATGGAAAATTTCTGAAACCTAATTAAAAAGTCTCTATTCAATGGGCTGTGGAGAATTTATAGCAGTGAAGCTGCCTGTGTCAGACAAATATGCTATTGATGGTCCTGTGGGAACTAATGATGAAGGGGCTACAATTAAGAATAGATATAAAAAGGAAACACACAGTTTGCTGGGCTCAGTTTCAGCCAGCTGGATGCTGGTGTGTGGGAAGGGCAGGGAACGGAAAGGGCTGGTGTCAGTGCAAATGAATGCTGCTCTGGGATAAGCTTCAGTGAGAGAATCAAAGATGTCCTGAGGGCTTTTACCCCTTCTCAAGGAAGGGGATGCATCTGTGCTAGCGAAATAGACTCTTACATGCAGTTTTACATGGATACTGGCTGCAAAACTGTCAAAATAGCCACAAACGCATGCTCTGGGATTGTCAGCCAGTGCTGAGAGTTCAGAGAGGTTTTTCACCCAGGTGACAAAAGACTTGTGCATGTACACCTGGTGGTAGAGAGGGGCTGTCTACCCTCTGCAAACATCCAAAACCCACACCCAAAGCAAACCACCATACCAGGCAGCACTTCTCCCGTGGGTCCCTCCAGAAGGGTGAAGGGAAATAGCACCAGACCATCCTGGACATTCTGCTGCCTCTGGTGATATTTGGCCACTCCAGCAGTAACCCAACAGGCAGCCATTTCCACACAGTACACACAGCAAGCCAGCTCAGCTACAGAACCATAGGAGGCTTTTGGGGAGATCAGGGTCTATTGCTTTCCTGGAGCTTTGCTTTGTGATACCTTGCACGTCCCTAGAGCCCTGCTTTGTTGCACCCTGGCTTGGCTGTGCTCCCAGCCCCACAGCCCCAGCACTTTGCAGGCAAAGGCATTGTGATGGCAGCATCCACTGCTGATGGGAGGGATAGCAAGATTTAATTATGTATAAATGACAAGTTTAGTGTTGCTGGAACCCATCGTTGCCTCATTCCACAAATGCTGTTCCTAGATCATAGTCTTGGGCTGGCTGGATTTTGTTTGGAGAGGTTTATAACTGCTTTATTCATCTCCTTAATAACAAAAGAGAACTTCAGAAATGTGGGAAACCTGAGGCCTCTGTATGAAAGGGCCAGGTTTCTGAACAACAAACCAGCTGCCCTTACCTTTCTGCCAAAGGTACTCATTAAGCAGCAAAACTGGCCACATTCACGTAACACAGATTTGTTTGCACTAAGGAGGCCTCCTGCAAGAGGGGAAACAGAGAGGAACTACGTGAGTCAGAGGGAGGCCTCAGAAACTGGGAGTACTGGCCAGGTGCCCTAACATGAGCATTTCTGCCTTGGGGTTTCCCCTTGCTCTCTGCAAAGCCTAGCCTAGACTGTACTCTAATTCCTGGCTCAGCCCCTTTACCCTTCTGAAACACTTATCTTTAGTGAAATTACATTAGTATTCAGAAAAAGTTCTGCCAGTAGTTTAACTCAAATTATTTCTTGTCTCTATAATCTTTGATGATTGCATTGAGATCTTTCCTGAATAACTGTTATTTAGTAAATGCTTTGTTTGCCATTCCTCAGTGTTCCTTTATACAGTTGTAGATTAGATAGTTCCCTGCCCATGTTAGAGGTGCCAACATGCTGGTCAGAAATTTTCAGAGGTTTTCTTTAGTTCTGCAACTAAAGGTGGCCATTTTAACTGTAACAAAATGATCGCTACCTTTAAAGACAAAATTGGTAAATTCTCAGGTATACATTAGTATCAGAGATCTTCCACTGTTGGCTCTTGGGAAAAACAGGCCTGGAAATGGTGCAAAGAAATGGTTTTCTCAAGAAAAAGAAATGTTTTTCTCTCCCTAAAAGACAACCTCCGATGAGAGCTTGAGTGGGAAGTGCCATCAGGAGATATGAGGGGTGATTTGGGTGGGCTGTTAGGTGGAAATTCTTTCCCCAGAAGGTGGTGAGGCTCTGGCACAGCTGCCTAAAGAAGCTGTGGTGCCCCATCCCTGGAGGCGCTCAAGGCCAGGTTGGATGGGGCCCTGGGCAGCCTGAGCTGGTGGGGGGCAGCCCTGCCCACGGCAGGGGGTGGGGCTGGGTGAGATTTGAGGTCCCTTCCAACCCAAACCATTCTTTGATTCTGTGACTGATTCTGTGATTCTGTGAAGGTGAGCCTCTCCAGCTTTAAATGAGCTTTGTGGCCAGCCTCCAAGAGGTAGAACTTCACCTTCCCATGGTTGCTATGAAGCAGTGTCCCAGCATCACCAAATGAGAATGTGGGAACGGTGGGCGTTTCTGTTCTTAGTGCCCAGAGTGCCACAGTGCTTTCCTCCTCTGATAGAAGCAAGTAAGGCAGCTGCCTGAATAATGTTGGCTAAACAAAGTACTTGGCCACATTACAATCCTTCTGATGTCTTATACTTTTTTGGCTGCATTTTATGGGTTTTCCTTTCAGCTGCTTAGTTTGTTTTTGCCCATATTCTACTGACTGCACAGATATATGTCACCTATAATCTTTCCCTATAAAGATGATGCTTACCTGCCTGTCTGAAAGCATCCTGTGCTGTCTGGTGCAGTGATGAGCCACCTCTATCAAATGACTAACAACAACAAGTGTTTCAGTTGATCTTTGTAGTACGCTTTATTTGTTAGTACATGTCCATTCTGTTAAGTGTAATAAAATTCTCACTTCGTTTCCGTCATGAAGAATGTCACTGGGAAAAAAAATGTAGACAGAATCTTTTCATCAGTTGAAATGGTGGCTGGAAACTTGAGAAGGAAATAGTAAAATTAACAGGTTGAAAAATGTTTGATAGTTTATCCTTGGAAAATCATTTTAGCCAGTTTAAGTGAAATTTCTGCCTTCATGAGCCAGAAGAATGAAATATTTTCTTGTAGGGACATGGCAGCTATGGTTCACAGGGTCACAGCACACCCATGTCCTGCATATGCTGCTGTGCTTCTGCTAATCCTTTAATGACAGTGAGTACTGCAGTGCCCCAATGGCCAGGGCTTCAGCTGTGCATGATCATTTGGTTACTATTTGTGTTAGGTGGTCACACTACCCCAACAGGACTCCGTGCTGTTGGTTTGATCTCAATCACTTCATTTTTTAACAGAAAGAAATAAAACAGGTTTACACATGTTCTTGAAGGGACAAAAAGATTCATATGCTCCATCCATCATCTGTTATGTTTCTCTGTGGTATAGAAATGTGAACCATTTATCTGTAGGCCTGATGGGAAGAAAATAAACCCTTAAATACTGTATATTTCTTTATCTTCCCTTTGTTTTCTTTCATTCTTAGCAAGTTAAATCTAGGAAGTTCTGGACATACATGAACTTCCATGAACAAACATGGACTTCCATGAAGCAGAAGCACTTTAAATCCTGTGCTTTGCTCAACTAACACTGTTTTGAACTCTATATTCTCCCTTGACACACCTGGTAACTGGAAGAAGGTTTTTAGAGATAGTTTTCTCTTAGTATCATTTTTTGTTTTTAGATGATTTAAAATGTAAAGTCACATGCCAGAATGGGTACTTGCTTTCAAGTTTCCAGCTGCACTGCAAGCTACCCCTCTGCTGGTGTGTCACCCAAGCTCCTCGTGGGACAGGCATATCGTGCTTCAGAGGGCTTAATGTGCCAACACCGTTCCACTGGGGAAAAACAGCCCAACACTGTATGCTCATTTCTTCTTGGCTTTTAATCTGGTGCTCAATGAATGAGCATCCTGTTGGCCCACAGCCACCCTTATCCACCAGTCCTCACACTGCATGAGTAGGGCTGGTAAGTGCAAACCAGGTTTTGCCTTCTGCTTTTTCTTCTTCACCAGTGTTGGGACAAGAAATACGAAGGGAATAATTACTGGAGGTCTTCTTTTTTTCCCTTTGTAACTTAAGCACGTTGGAACCTAGGGAGCACTGAGATCTTCCAGGGATTTGTGCTCAGCTTGTGAGTAGACTTGGCACTCCCTCTTCTGGCACATGGATTGGGTGCTGTGGAGGGTGAAGGAGAACAGTGGTGATGGTCCCCTGCCCAAAGGTGCTGGCAGCTGGGCCCTACCTGCCTTCAGCCCTTCTATGATCTGCTGCCTCCAGCCCAGCTGTCTGCAGTCATCCCTGCCCACTCAAAAGGATTCTGGTTCCTTTTTGGAAGAGAAACTGTTTGATCCGTCTGTGCCAGGAGCCTCCTGTTTGAACTTAGGGAGGTGCAGGCCCCAATGGGAAGGTCTCTAAAGCAAAAACCTGGTGTTGGGGAGATGACCCTGATGGTGCTTGCTTTTGCATTTGAGCCCTTCAGCTTCCCAGCTCCCTCATGAGAGCATGGAGAAGTTCTCCACTGTTGGCACATGGGACCAGATTTGTCTGCTTGCCAAATGGTGCTGGTGCTGCCCATGCTCACCTGGAAGATCCCAAATACCTACGCGGAGCTGGTAGGACCTACAGAAGACCACTGTCTGCTGGACAGGCAGTTCTAGACACTGTTCTCAGATGTATGTGGCAGCTCTGGTAAGATTCAGCCCAAATCAATTGTACTAGCACTTTCATCCAGAAGTACATGATGCAAGTATGTATGTAGTGTGTATGTTAGGCAGCTATAAGGTATCCATATTTATGGCTAATAAGGCCCCTACTTTACAGATGTCCACATGTGCTGTGGGTCCAAATGTTTATTATGTACAGTGAGGTTTGAGATATGATGCAGTCGCCTATGCCTGCCTCTTCAGTGCCATTGTGCATGATTGAGGCCACTTTCAGCTGCTGCTCCAGGGCACATGTTCCCTGCAAGCCCTTCAGGTCTTACACCAACTGAAAAATGCAAAAGTAGTTTTTGAATCAGAAGGTGTATACAAACAGAAGCTTGACATTCAGAGATACAAACAAACAAACAAACCCACCAAACTATTTCAAGGGTCATTTTGACATAAAATTTATTCTGTTTGAAGCAGAAAAGCAGGACTGGTTGAATAAATACTTTTAACAGAGCCCTTCCTCCTGCAGCTCATCTCTCTATTGCTTCCTTTGCTCTGATAGTGATTTACTCTGGGAATTCAGGAGTCTTGTTGATCATTTCTGCTTGTTCAGTCATTAAAAGACGGTGAGCTCTTAAACACTCATTGTTTATTATTCTTTTTCCTGTCTGAGAGAACATTTTAAAAAATGAACTATCCTGTTGCTACCGCAATTGTTCAAGTTGACCAAAGATCTTCTTTGGAGTACACTTTGTTGCCTGCACAGAGCCAAGCTAGTGAGGGGCAGGTGCTGGTGTGCTCTCTCTGATAACCAATGACAGAACCTGAGGGAACGGCATGGAGCTGTGTCAGGGGAGGGCAGCTGGGGGTTAGGGAAAGGGTCTGCACCAGAGGGTGGTGGGCATGGAACAGGATGCACAGGGCTGTGGGCACGGCCCTCAGTATCAGAGTTCAAGGAGTGTCTGGACAGTGCTCTCAGACACATGGTCTGATTTTTGGGTGGTCCTGTGTGCAGCCCAGAGCTGGACTTGACAATCCTTGAAAGCCCCTTCCAACTTGGCATATTTTATTGTTCTATGATCGACCCAGCTATGGACAGGAGACACAGCAGCTCAACCCAGCCCACCAGGCAGGTCATGGCTTGGAGGGAAAACTGCATTGCTGTGCAGCACCAGGCAGCAAAACCTGCTCTTACAAGATGGCTGGTGGCACTTGTGGCCTCACAGCCCGTCCTTCACATAGTTCTGCATAGTTCAGCACAGATGCTTCAGGCTCACAAACCTGCTGGACACATATCAGACGTAGTCATGAACTCAGACTTACATTCACTTCACACTATAAATAGGCATAGCGCAGGTCAATCCCTTAAGCAAAGAGCTACTTAGTGAAGAAGGCTGTGGTCTTGGCGGACCTTCAGAAGTGCAATATGCTAATCCTTTCAGTTTAAACTGACTCTCTTTGCATTATCCCTGTGCCTATCTGTACTTACGGCCATACCATTCATTGCCTTGCAGTGTCACCCTGATGAACCTGTGAGGGCCTATTTCTGCACTGCCATGCAAACACACTGCTGAGAGTTGCGGCAAGCTGAGAACAACAGGCACTGAAAGTTACCTAAGTGTAAGCATGAAGAAGAGCATGAATGTTAACTAAAACATGAGACAGGGCCACTGAAACTGAGGAGAATGAGACAGAGTAGGTCTTTGTGAAAGGAGGATGGGGATCATGCAAAAAATCCCAGCTCCTCTATGAAGGTAGGCTTACTGGGTGGGGAATCTTCCTTCAGTCTCCCCAGGCAAAAATCTTCACTTTCCTGTGCAGAATCCATTGTTGCACCCTTCCTGGTTGCCAAAACACAGCAGAAATCCTTTCTTTCTTACTTTGCATCATACTGCTTGTGCACATCATACTGTCCATGCACATTGCACTGTGATATCTGAAAGGCTCTCTGAGTGACCCCTTTCCTCTGCTGGATGAGTTGCAAGCACTTGCATTAAGAACATTTCTCAACAATGTATAACAAAGATAATATAGGATGATACCATAGAAACTTATTTAAATAAATCAAACTTACATTACTTGCAGTTGATTAATGACACTCTTAGAAAATCTCCTTTGCTTTTGAATATTGGCTTATTTTTTGAGTTCATTTAACTTGAAGAATGAAAATTGGTTAGGTCTTTTGTAATCCAATCCCCTAGAGATGTTCCCAACACTACTTTTCCTGAAGCCACTTACGTGGCAGAGAAGAACCCATACACAATTCAAAGCAGAGAAATAGCTTCATTGTTTCACACTCTGCCTGCAGAATGATGCTGCTCCTTTTGAGCTGC